CACTATGCCGGGTATTACAAGTCATCTCTATTATGAGGCAGATTTTTATGCAAATATGAGGTCTATCATAGTTAGCTTTGACTGTCGATTTGACAAAGCCTAAAGTCAACTAAGAGGAACTGCCTCAGTCAGATTGGTTTTGTGGGCATGGTGTCTGCACGGGAGTATTTGTGCCAATGCCTCACAGATAAGAAATGGCAACGTTTTATTTTTTGAAGTATGACTTTGTCGGTGATGGAGAGATGGCTCAGCGGTTAAGAGCACTTGTTGTTCTTGCAGAGGACCTGGGTTTGATGCTCAGCACCACATGGTGGTTCACACCCATTCTAACTCCAGGACCAGGAGAATCTATTTACTGTTCTAGAGGCTCTGGGATCAAGGAGAATGGGGTCAATGAGTGAGGCAGACTAAAGTCTCATACAATAGCCAGCTTTATTCAGAGCATCAGACAGAAGTCACATGAGTAAAGTGTCCAGTCACAAGAGCAAGCTGCACGTGGCAGACATGAACACATAATCCAATAACAATTCTGTGGTTTTGGAGAAACTGAAGTCACAAGAGTCTTGCCCTGGTTTCTTGGAGTTTTTCCACAGCATTCATAAATCTCCCCACACGACATGATTCCTGGACCATGTTCCAACAGGGATTCAAAGTGTTCTTTCACCTTCCACAAACATCAGGCACAAACATGGTGCACAGACATATGTGCAGATTAAACACCCATACACATAAAATAAAAACAATCAATCTTTTTAAAAAAAGAAATATGACAGTGTTAGTCTGCTAGCCAGCTTTCTGCTGGTATAACAGAATGCCCGGGGTAATAAACATATGAAGAAAAGAGGCTGGATTTGGGCCACAGCTTTGGAGGCCCCTCATTGGGGGCCTGTGGTAGTATATTGTGGAGATATGTCACTCATCTCATGGCCAAAAAGTAATAGATAAGAAAGAGCCAGGGTTTCACAGCCCTCTTCCAGGGCACACCCCAGTGACTTCATCTTCTTTTAATAGGCCCTACCTCCTTAAAGGTCCACCAACTCCATGGTGTCAAGCTGGTGACTGACTTGAAGTGCCCCCGTGGGCCTTGGAGGGGACACTTCACATCTAAACTATATCAATGACCTCATTTAAATGGTATTGATAGCTGGGTGTGGTAGTGCATGCCTTTGATTCCAGCACCTGGGAGACAGAGGCAGGTGGATCTCTGCTGTTGTTTGTTTTTTATTCATTTGGGGGGCCCTCCCCACAGCTCCCAAATAAATCACAGAGGCTTATTCTTTCTTTCTTTTTTTTTTTTTTTTCTTCAAGACAGGGTTTCTCTGTATAGCTTTGCACCTTTCCTGGATCTTGCTCTGTAGACCAGGCTGGCCTCAAACTCAGAGAGATCCGCCTGCCTCTGCCTCCCAAGTGCTGGGATTAAAGGCATGCGCCACCATCACCCAGCTGGCTTATTCTTAATTATGAATGCCTGACTTATCTTGGCTTGTTGCTTGCCAGCTTTCCTTAACTTATCCTGTCTACCTTTTGCTTCTGGGCTTTTCCCATTCTCTTACTTCTGTAAATCTTACTCTTACTTCATGGCTTGCTGTGTTGCTGAGTGATTGATCCTTCTATATATTCACTCTGCCTGCCAGCCCCATCTATCCTATCTCCTGCCTTGCCATTGGCCATTCAGTTCTTTATTAAACAATCAGGTGTTTCAAACAAGCACAGTAACACAGCTTCACAGAGTTAAACAAATGCAACATAAACAATAGTAACACATCTTAAAATAATATTCTACAATAGCTCTCTGTGAGTTCAAGACTAGCCTGGTCTACAAAGCAAGTTCCAGGACAGCCAGGGCTACACAAAGAAATCCAATCAATCAATCAGTCAATCAATCAATAAAATAAAAAGTTAAATGTTCACAGTATATTGTTAAATGGAAAAAAGCAGGATGTAAACAGCAAATATGAGCCGGGCATGGTAGCTCATGCCTATGATATGAGCACTCAAGGGCTGAAGCAGGGTTGCAAGTTTAAGGCCAGCCTGGGTTTTATAGAGACCCTATCTCAAAAAACCAACCAGAGTAACAAAAACAGAAAACTCAGCACATACAACTTGATTTCATTTTTGGAACAAATATGTTTGTGACAAAGTCTCTGTGTGAGCAGGCTCTTTGCCTCATGTTTTACTGTGTCCCTAGTCCAGAACACACAGCTGCAGCTCAGAAAACACGAGTGGGTGGGTGGGTGAGTAAAACAATGGGCGACAAGGTTAGGCTGCTTTCTAAGTAGACATGTGGCCACATCGGGCTTGCCAGTAGATTTAAGAGGGACTTTTATCTTCTTAATATTTTTCTACTTTTTTTCTGAGCTGTTAAAATGAGCATCCCCCGTGCTTCTAATTGGAAAATGAAAATAGTTATAGAATTGAGAGGTGTTGGGGGGGGCTCCCTGGAAAAACATTGAGCTGCTGAACAGACAGGCCTCTGCCATCCCACCCATGCCCACGTCACTCAGGCCCAGAAAAGGTGTGAGCTCTAGGAGGAGAGACGGGGTGGGAGCTCCAGGGCAAGAGCTGGAGAACACAGAAAGCCAGGTCTGCAGGAGCCTGGGGGAGGGGTATGAAACCCAGAGATACAGCTGTGCCTGGCCTGAGACCACACAGCAGCAGGCCAGGGTCAGATGAGCCAGGCTTGGTCAGGCCTTGGTCTCCAACATCAGGATGCCTGGACACCAGACAAGTTTATGTTCCTTAGCTCCATTTCACAAATGAAGGAAAACTGAAGCCCTGCGATTACAGAACTGGAAACTTTAGATACAAACAGACCCAGGAGTCCATCCAAACCTGATACTAAACTCCAGTGGGCACCTCTCCTGGTGGAATGTCAACTCCCTTCTAAGAGTGGGTGAAGGTACCCACATCAAGCCAAGTGACTTGTGCAAGACAAGGGGAGGGAGGGGTCTCCAGCTTGTTCGGATTCCAAGGTCAGGTCTGTCTATCTCCCTGGGGTTATGTCCTCTGTTTACTGTTGTCAAACTTGGGGGTCACATCCTGTGTGCCTAGGCAGGTCTGGCCACTCAATAAGTCAACCAAAGAAGCCAAATTAAAAGTAGAAATCAGAAAAGAACAAAAATATTAATCAACATGGTCATGGCCTGTCGGTGATAGTGCACACCTTTAATCCCAGCACTTGGGAGGCAGAGGCAGACAGATCTCTGTGAGTTCGAGGCCAGCCTGGTCTACAGAGAGAGTTCCAGGACAGCCAGGGCAGTTACACAGAGAAACCCTGTCTTGAAAAACAAACAAACAAAACCCTAATGTGGTCACATTGGGAAAAGAGACAGAGTTCCAGCAAACCCCCAAGTCTTTGGAATCCTGAACTGAGACCAATTGAAGGCCAAGAATGAGTACATCCGGGCAGTGCCAGTCAAGGTGTGGTCCTGCTCACCGCTGACCCATCGATGTCAGGACTTCAGTCTCATCCTGTAAGATGCTCTGACAACTTGTTGCCTGTGTGACAGGTTCCCTTGTGGCTAGTGTCTTTCCTTCTCCCAGCAGGAGATTCCTGGGGAAATTCCTTGGGATCCATTGACCAGTCTGATAGCCACATGGAAGAGACAGAGGATATCTTCATTTCTTCCCCGGTCGGTTACAGTAGCACAGCAGACACACAGTGTCCATAATGTTCAGGGAGCTCGTGGAGACCTCCTAGGGTGGGGGCTGAACTGTGCTTCCTGTCACTAAGCCGGTAGCGCTTGGGACTGTGGACAACAGTTAGGTTGTCACTGTCCTTGGGACCAGTGTGGAGTCCCTAATCCCTGTTTCACTTCTGGGCCACCCTCATGCAGTTGGCAGAGAGGTACTTAACACCATCTCTCAGATCGTATGCAGCTGGGAAGGGACAGGATGCTGAGTGGCTCAGTGTACCAGTCAATTGCAGGGGCATGAGAATGGCAGGGGACAAGCCAAAGGTCACAAGCTGCAAGGTTCCTGGTGTGTGACACTCTAGCAAAGGCAAAAGGACAGGGACGAACACTGGCCAGGTGGGTGGGGGGTCAAAGAAGTGTCTGGGCTGGATATTGTTTTGGACTGATTGGTAGTGGCGGCTCAGTGGCTTGTACAATGCCTATTCAAAGAAGAAGGGGTTCTTACTGAATGTAAACACTCCTTTAAACTTTGTTAAAGGAAGACGGACAGATACATAGGACTGTATTTTACTATTCTATCTACAAATGTGTTTGGAAAAAAAATCCAAAACAACAAATAAAATCATGCCCAAGCCCTCCTCCACCCCGGGCTCCTTCCCAGCTCCATGTCGGAGGCCCTTGCTCTTCTGACCCCATGGCAGGCAGTCTGCAGCTTCCCACCAGTGCTGTGCTTTTGTTTTGTTTTGGTTTTGTTTTCCAAGACAAGGTTTCTCTATCTATGTAGCCTTGGCTGTCCTGGAACTCACTCTGTAGACCAGGCTGGCTTTGAACTCAGAGATCTGCCTGCCTCTGCCTCCCAAGTGCTGGAATTAACAGTGTGCTCTGCTCCCACCCGGCCCGACCAGTGCTCTTTATTTTAACCCAGGGCCTTTGCTTTAGTTCGTCTCGCTGTCTGGGCTGCTCTGCTCTCCTCTCTCCCTCTACCACCTAACTCATGACATTACTTCCTTCAAGTCTTTCTTTACAAGCCTCCGTCTCAGCTGAAGACAGACTGCCTCCAGGAGCACACTGACCCAGAACCAGCTGGCTGGCGAGCATGCTCATCAACCCGCTCCTTCCTTCTCTGATTTCAGTGCACTCCTGCAGAGCTGTGCCGCAGGGATGGGGGCCTCTGCTGTGCTCATTTGTGCCCTCACAACGGTGCCTGCTCCACGGGAGATGTTCAGTACATACTTGGCAGATTAGAGAGCACCCAAATAAATCAGATCCACACCCCTACTCCGGTCCCCACGAAACCCAAGCAGGCACGGCCATGGGAAGCTTCCAGCACTGAGTCATTCAGTGACTCCAGCAAACATCCATTGCTCCATGTTATTCTTTTATTTTCCAGAAAGGACTTTACTTCTTTGGTTTGGGTGGGCTCACGCTGAGGATGTAGCTGAGAACTGCCTTGAATTCCCAGGTGCTAGGAGTACAGGCCAACACTATGCCGAGCTTCTAAAAGGGATTTCTGCAGGGCTTCCAGACTTCAGCATGAAAAGAGTCACAGGGAGGGAAGAAAGTGTCTCAGAGAAGAGAGCTTGTCATGTGCTAATCCCTTATCAGGCCAGACTCCCCTGGGCCAGACTGGCAGGTCAGACACCCTGTCAGTAGGCAAAATGCAGAGGAGGGCTGCTCCAGGAAGTGGCGCTCGGGCAGTCACGCAAAAGGCACAGTGGTGTGCAGATGAGTGGCCTGTCCAGACACTCTCCAGGAACACACTCTGGCCATCTCCACTTACATTCTTGGGGAGTGAAGTCACCTAAGACTCACAGGTCTTGTCTTATCTTCCTCGTCCACGCCCTGACTCAGCCAAGCTCACAGCCCTCTCCCATCACAGGATCCCTTTCGGCCACTTTGCGTATAATGACCCAAGTCAGCCCTCTTTTGTTTACGAATGCTGTGATACAACTCACATTTGTTAAGAAAAGGAAATTATTTGCTCAGAAAAAGACGTTCTCAATAGTATATCTGACCTCTAACCAAACAATAAAAAGAATGGGAAGAAATCAAAATGAAAATGTAGTGGGCACAAAACCAGACAAAATTTTTCATTAAACAGATGTGCAAACGGCCTGGAAGCCTGGGGAGAGTCAGGAGCCAATTACTGCCACTAATGACAAAATGTCCACTGCAGCTTCCAAAGTTATCAGTGGCAATGTAAAGTTGTACATTTAGAAAAGGGTCTTGCAGTTTTTCACAAAACCAAACACACACCGGCCATAAAACCCAGCAATACATTCCTGGGAACTACCCCAGGGGAATGCTGGCCAGAGGTCATCCACAACATGTTACTCATAGGAGCCCCAAACCAAAACAACACAGCCACCCATTAACATGTGATGGATAAACTGGTACATGCTCACCGTGGGACACCTGACACAGTGATGAACATGATAGCAGCAGCGACGTGGCTGATCACAGGTGGATGCTGAGAAAGACACGAAATAATCCCAGCACTCAGGAGGCGGAGACAGGCAGAACAGCCAAAGCTACTCAGAGAAATCCAGTTTCAAAACAAAAGAAAAAGCCAGGCAGTGGTGGCACACACCTTTAACCCAGCACTTAGGAGGCAGAACCAGGGGGATCTCGGTGAGTTCGAGGCCAGCCTGGTCTACAGAGCGAGGTCCAGGATAGTCTCCAAAGCTACACAGAGAAACCCTGTCTCCAACACCGCCCCTACCCCACCACCAAAAAATAAAAAAGAAAAAGAAAAGAAACTAGATACTAAAAGGTCAATATTGTTTAGTTCCATTTAATAGGATGTTCTTGGGAAAAGCTGTTTAGTCAATAGTGCTAAAAGTCAGGGAGCATACATCAAAAGGAAGGCATCAATTGGCAGGGGACCCACGAAGATCTCCATTTGGCTACTAAGTGCTTCCTTGTCTCCCCGCCACTGCCCACACACACTTGGTACCGCTTTGAACTCACAACCTTCAAGCACTCTACCACTAAGGTCCACCCATCTGTGTGGTGGTCTCATAGATGTGAACTCATCAGATTTTCACCTTAATTAACAGAATGTGATTCTGTGAACATCCATGGCAGGCTTTCCAAATACTATTTGCTGAGCAGTAGTTCCAAAATACCATGGCTTCTAGGGAGACACTGGTTCCTGGGTAGCTAGCTCCTCGGGGACTTCGAATTTCTGCCTTTCTTTGGGAGAGGCGGCTTTTCACCCAGTCCCAAACACGCCTGGGGTAATCTCTCAATAGCAGCTTCAACTGCCCCGGGTGGACGGGCTGCTAACGCCAGTTCCCGCTGGGCTCCAGCTGAGATTAGGTGTGCCTTTCAATGCCCAGCCCCAGTAAAACCGGGGTCTGAGGTATCTGTGCCTCAGCCTTGCCGGTGAAGCCGGTACCTAATATCCGACAGCTGTCTTGGAGAAGATCAGAACTGCCCCACAGGTCGTTATGTGTTTTTCAGATGGGTCCGTGTGGGTCCTAGAGACGCATCTGGGGTAAACGCGAGGACAATCGGCACCCTTGAAAGGCCAGCACATTATTGTTGGTGCCGCGAGAGAAACGCGCCGCGCGGCCCCTTTAAGAGACGCCAGGAATGTATCCAAACAGACCGTGCGCGCGGCGCACGTGACTCACAGCTGATTTCCGGCCCCGCCCCCTTCTCCGGCCCGCGCCGCCCGAGAGTCAGTTCGCTGCGGCCCGCGGTCCCCAGTCTCGGCGCGCGCGATGGCGCATGCGGCCCCGCCGAGCGCGCTGGAGCAGGGCGGCCCCATCCGCGTGGAACACGACCGCCAACGCCGCCAGTTCTCCGTGCGCCTCAACGGTACCGCGCTGCCTTTGTTTGCGCGCGCGCGCGCCCGCGCGTGAGCGGGCGGGACGGGGCGGGACCTGCGGGCGGACGGATCCCGGGGCGGGAGGGTTCCCGAACCCCGACAGGCACCGCCAGAGCGCGCCCGCCCGGGCAGCCCGCACCTGCTAGCGCTGCTGCCGGCTTCCGGCACCGCGGACGGAGGGCTGCCACCCTGGATCCCAGCGAGCAGGTCGCTGGTGGCCTGCCACCACCCCCCGGGTGTTCGGTTGCTTCCTGCCGTCCCCTGGAGGAGCCTGCGCAGGCCGGGGGCATAACCCAGGGAACTTGTGGCCTGGAGGAGGAGGCGGGTAGGTGGCTCCGAGACGTTAGCCAACTTACCCAGTCGATGTGTGCCTCGGTCTCCTGGAATCTGCAGTGGGGATGGCTGTAGCGATCACCGTTTTGGCTGGGCAGTGAGGATGAGATACTGTGGCAGTTAAAGGTTCAGAATGACACATTTGGTGCACAGCAAGCGCTGATAAACATGGGTAAATGGCTACTTCTCAAACCGGACAGCTAGGTCAAGGCCTCGTCTTCTGTAGCGTTTGTACCAGCAGACCAACACTCTTCCCATTGATACTAGGGGTTGGAAATGATGGTGAAATACGGGACCTTGAGTTCTTTGCAGCCCACCCCTCCCATCTGGGCACGTCCGTGACCTAACTTAGAGGCCACTGCGCCGGGTTTGAAGGGACGCCCGTGTGTGAAGTCGGCCATTAAGTTGTACAGCAGCGAAGGTACTGAGCGGCCTGCCCTGACTGACGGAGCCAGCCTTCTGTGACGGCACTTGCACTTGGTCACAAGCAGCAGAGGCCTGGTCTCCCATCTGTGCCACCTGACTACAGTGGAGGCAGCTGTTACTTCCTGCGTTGTGTCATACCGCCCCACATTACACATGAGTAAACTGAGGCTGGAGTTCAGGAAGTGACTTGCCCAGTCTTAACAAGACCAGAGTCATATTCAGATCTGGGCCCAGCTGCCCCTATGGCCATGCCTTTTTCCTAGAGAAACAAGTCCTGTCGTCATGCTGGTGGTGAGACTTGGCCCTGGTCACTTGAGGTTTTTTTCAGCTTGAGGTTTTTTTATCTGAGGTTTTTTTTTTTCCCCAGAACCTCTTTCCTGAGTTCCAGGGGGGCTGTGATTCTCCAGATGACTCCGGAGGCCCATTAGATACACAAAAAGAAAAGCAGGGACCCCTCAGGCTGCTTCTTCCTTTCTCTCCAAAATGGGTCTGGTCAAGAGGACAGTCTGCTGGCTGTGAGCAGACTGTAGTTTTAAACTTAACCCTTCTGGACCCTGCTGCCCTGTCGCTAACCACAAGTGGTGCCCTAGGGAGACAGGGTGGCTAGAGGCGGGCAGCCCCACCCCTGCTCCTGCTGCGGAGCCCGGGCCAAGTAGGATTCATTCCCCTAGTGTTTACTGAGTACCTGCTGTTTACCGGCACTCTTAAGATGCCCAGGATTTGTGGGGCTGACAGTCTAGAGGGGGAGATGGGTCTCGAGGAAATGACACAATATCTTATAAAACAAAGGCGTCTGAGAGAAGTGACGCCGGGCCAGGGCTGTCCTTCAGCATCAGGTTCCAAGCAGGTGTCTTTTAGGAAAGACCTGAAAGGGGCAAGACGCACTGGAGAGGGCAGCATGTGAAAGCAGCAGCTGAGAGCGCAAAGGCCCTGTGGTGCCCATTGTGTGCTCAGAGCAGCCGGGAGCAGTGCGGGGATAGAGCAGCCTGGCAGGTACCGTCAGTCTAAGAGCTCACAGGACGGCTAGTATAGGACTGGAAATGTTAACTCGTATGACTCGGACCCTGAGTACTGTGGGTTCCTGAAAAGGCCCTGAAAAGAGGACAGCTGACATGGACCGGGAGCATACTATGGGGCATGGTAGTGGGAGCACAGAGCTGGCCACTACACCTGTCCAAGCAGTGTGAGCAGGGGTGGGAAGAAATGTCCAAGTCCTGAGCAGATATGACAGGAAACACGGAGAGAGCCTGATGATAGGACGTGTGAGAGGAGACTAGAACTCAGGTTTGTATATGCGACCCTAGATTGAAGTTCTGAAATGCTGGCTGGCTGTGTGGCCGCTGTTTAATCGGTGAGAGACCAAGGCACGAGACTGGTGGACAGCTGGTCCAGGATGGAACCCCAGGTTGTCTCCTGAGGGTTGTCATCTAAAGGTTGGAGGAGGTTAGCTAAGGCCCCAGCCTCCAGCCTCTTCCTTGCCTTCTCCTTCTTACCTCAGCCAGGGTCAGCCACTCAGGTCTGTGTGTGTGCTTTAAAGATTGTTTTTAGTTGTGTGTGTGTGTGTGTGTGTGTGTGTGTACACGTGACATGTATTCCAGTGCCTATAGAGATCAAAAGAGGGCGTCAGATCCTGCAGCTGGAGTTACAGGCAGGTGTGAGCTGCCAGACATGGGTGCTAGGAACTGAGAGTCCTCTGTAAGAGCAGAAAGCCCTCTTAGTTAGCTGAGCCAGCTTCCCAGCCTCTGGGACAGCTACTTGTTGCAAGAAGGCTCACTCAGATCCCCCCCAGAATCTCTCTACCCCCTACTTTGCAAGTAGGAAGACAGGCCTAGAACTGAGCCCAGCTGGTTCCTGCAGTTCCCGGGTGCCTAGGACTGTCCCCAACATGCTTGTCTGAGGTCTGGGGCACTCAGAGCCCAGCCTAGACCCAGTCTGTGTCACCACTAATCCAGGGAGTCGGGCCACTCATCCACTGCAGGAGTGTGTTGTTATAGCGTTCTGTCCCATGATGGTGGGCAGACGGAGAAGCCCCTAGTGAGAGAATACCTAGAAGAAGAAGAAGGTGGGAAGCCATGGGTGTCGATGTGGCAAGGGGAAGATCAGCAAGCAGCTAACCAGACACTTAGTGGCTGTTGTAGGGAGGGGCTGTAGTTAGGGTGTGGCTGGAGCCTGCTGGCATATCTGAAAGCCAGCCTTAAGCAGACACCTGCTGGGGACTTACATGGCTGTTCTCTGGGGACCCTGCTAAAGGCACAGGGGCTAGGCCTTGGGGCTGCCATGTGCCACTAGTCAGCCTCCGGTCTCAGAATGCTTCTGGTAGGAAGAAGCAGGTTTTTGACAGCTATTTCCTGGGTGTCTACCCTGGGGATTATGAGGACAGGGTGGTGACTGTCCTGACCACCAGACACCAAAGGCCTAGGCAGAGAGAGAATCACTGTGCTATCCCAGGGTTGCTCACAGGCTAAGTAGGCTCCATGGGATTGCGAGCAGGAAGAGACTGAAGACACTAGCAGGTTTGCAAGAGCTCAGTCCCTGCCCCCCAAGACTGCTGGGAGCATAAGCTGGTCTGTTGGTGGCTCTAGGATCTCCATCACCTGCTTCCCTACACTGCCTGTCCCTTAAGCACTCAGGCCAGCCACTCTGGCTTCCATGTCATTCTGAGCATCATGAGGACTTTGCTTCTGCTCGCTCACCACCTGGACTTCTCACACCAAAGGGTCCTATGTCCCTCACTCCTTCAGGTCTTTTGCGCAAGAGCCAGATTTTTTTTTTATTTTTTTTAATTTTTCAAGACAGGGTTTCTCTGTGTGGCTTTGGAGCCTGTCCTGGATCTCTCTCTGTAGCCCAGACTGGCCTCGAACTCACAGAGACCTGCCTGGCTCTGCCTCCTGAATTCTGGGATTAAAGGTGGCTGCCGCCGCCGCCGCTGCCGCCGCCGCCGCCAGGCGAGCCAGATACCCTCTTTGTGGTGACAGTCCCCACCCCTGCTCCCCACCCCTTCTCTGCTCTCTGTGCCCGTCTCCTGGGAAGGCTGTCATTTGTGTCTCCTCTACTAAAATGTGAAGGAGTGCTGTGTCGGCTTTGTTCTCTGCCTGCCTCCCCCCTAGCACTGCAGACCCAGCCAGAGCATAGTGCAAGGTCAGGACAGATGGGCGGATCTGCGGTAACCAGGTCAGTCCTGCCATAGCTTCCCTCTGCACTCGCGTCTCTGGTGAGCTTGATTGACCCCAGCACGTACAGAATCAGACCCGGGTCCATGTCTTACAGCTACAGGGGGTGGCTGTGGTGGCCATAGCTGGGCCTTGGTCGGGGAATGGGCACAGCCCCAGAACAGATCAGTGTAAGGAGGGAGGTTTCAGCACAGGGGAAGGCCTTGGCACTTGTGGACCTGCTGAGAAGGGCATCCTAGTCTGGAGGTGGGAAGAAGAGGGCATAGTTTCCTGAAACAAAGCATTGAGGACGACTGAGGTGATACGTGTCCGTAATCGCAACACTCTGGGTTCTAGGCCAGCTTGGGCTACAGTGAGACCCGAGCGAAGCTTGGAGGGTGGGTCACTGGGCTACACTCTACCTTCAGCCCCTGTGCGACTGCGTAACTTGAATCTCAGGAGGTTAGCTCTGGAAATGAGCTAGTGAATCCTAGTCTCCCTCCTGGAACTTGGGGAGGCTTGAGTACACTGAGGGCAGAATCTTCGTTGGGTTTGTTGGGCTCTGTTGTGCCTGTGCTGGACCTTAGGGAGGGGGGTTAACTGAGACACAGGGTTGGGGTCTCTGGAATGACAGTAGCAAGGGCTGTGGGTGGCTGTGTGTTGTTGGCACCACATTAAGCCTGTTGCAGAGAATGCCCAATTGAACCCTACACACAGTCCTCTAAGGAATGCCATCATGCCCTACTCTGGGGATATGGAAACTGAGGTACAGGGGTTATTCAAAATTCAGCTCCTGTACCTCACTGGTAGTCTGGCTCCAGATACTGTACTTTACCCTGTCCTTCACACCTGGGATTGCCAGGAATAACCACGTTCTGAGGGCCGCTGAAGTCCACACCTCAGTTGTTTGTATCTCCTGCTCCAGGATGTCATGACCGGGCTGTCCTGCTCTATGAGTATGTGGGCAAGCGGATCGTAGACCTGCAGCACACAGAGGTCCCGGATGCTTACCGTGGGCGTGGCATTGCCAAGCACCTGGCCAAGGTAGGATGGATAGCAGACCAGGACACAGCTGTCACACTCCCCTTGCAGGGAAGATTGACTAGTGGCTAACTCTAGTTTGTGTCTAGACCACAGCTTCACAGGCCCATCTGGTCAAGAGTTTGTAGTTGGCAATGGGAGAGCTTTGAACATTGCTTATCATGCTACTAGGCCTTCCGTGGCAGGTCCACTATTTTGAGCATAGCGTCCCCACAGCCTGACTCCATCTTGGGACCAGGACTTGTTTAGTAATCCCTGATGATACAAAGCGAATGAGTGTACAAGTCAATGGGCTCATGCCCAGGTCTTCCACCTCCACCTGCCTCTCCCAGGCACTTGAAAATCCCAGGCTGCCTGAGGTGAAACAAAGATGACTTCTGGGTGCAGGCCCCACCCCTGTGCTTCTAGTGGAGCCCTCTGCTGGCTTTCCAGTCCCTCCCTGTGGGGCTTCCTGGACCTCGTGCCCTTACACACAGGACTTGGCCACAAGCTGGTCTGTGAGTTAACCCAGTTACCAGGGAGGGAACTCAAGACACTGACTGAGGCAAAATGGGAGAATAGCCACTTGGGGAACCTGGGGAAATAACAGAAAGCTGATGGCTACCAGTCTTAGACCACAATGGGCCACAGTCCCCAAGTAAGCTGCAACTCTTAACAACTGTTCTCTGCTAACCAGGCTGCCCTGGACTTCGTGGTGGAGGAAGACCTGAAGGCTCACCTCACCTGCTGGTACATCCAGAAGTACGTCAAGGAGAACCCCCTGCCACAGTACCTGGAACGCCTACAGCCATGACCCTGGCCACTGTGTGCAGGAGTGCACCCTGTAGGCCTTCCACGTGGGCCTCGGCCAGCTCATGTGCTCTCAGGAACCTGTTCCTATGGGGACAGGCTCAGAGTTATTTTTGCAAGGACACTCATCTGCAGCCCTCATCCAGGATTCTGGGGACCAGCTGCTGGCTGAGGATGTGTGGCTATCCAGAGCGGGATGGAGGGCAGGCCGAGTGGCCGAGGCCCGCCTCTCACCAGCTGCACATCCACATCCCGTGGAACCTGGCTCCTGGGTCCCTGCTCAGATCAGCAAGAGGGTGAGGTCGAGCCCTGGCACCACCACCTGGAGCTGTGTCCTTTCTGCAAATGAGGAGGGTGTCCCTGGAGCCAAGGAGAACAACAGGAACCCTATGTGCCAGCTTCCCAAGGTGGGGGTGCCAAGCCTTAGCCGCTGCCAGTGCTAACCCTTTCTCTTTCTCAGACTTGTGCCCTGGCACAGGCAGGCAGTGGACTGGCAGCAGAGGGCAGCCGATCCTGGTGTGTGGAGAGCTCTGGCCCAGGCCCATCCATGGGCATGCACACCAACACACGAGCACAGAGGCAGGGCACGTGACAGTGAACGCCTTCCTCTCTTTGGTTACCCACACTCTTTGGCTTCT